ACGTCGGGATTTACTAGTACCATTTCTATTTTAAAACTAATTATAAGGCAGCTGCTTCACTCGCGCTACTCTTAAGTCACTTAGCTTGTTTCTCTTTTTCAAAACTATTTTAGCCTTCGTGGTTCAAGTTCTTAAGACAACACAGAATTTGGTCGTTTCACGCTGTCTGTTGTTTCGCAGAAGACGGTAAAAAAATTGTATCAAGGATCATTATACCGCACGTGCACAACCGTTGTCCTGCTTAGTTAAGGGCCCATTAACCGATCGGTTAATGGGCCCTTAAGGTTACCGTATACCTTTAGAGGTGTCTCGCGTCTAAGCGATGTAGCGCGTTCGGTTTAAACTGTAGATAATAAACACCTTCGTATATCAAATTAAAGCCTATAGAGGTGACTATCAAACTATACCAAGAATTTTGAAATAATATGAACTGTCGCATTTTCCACGACCCCTAAATGTGACCGTCTGCACTGATCGCTCGGACGCGAGACACCTCTAAAGGTATAAGGTAACCTTCAAACTTTTCTTTTGCGCCATTGCCGTTTTGGTTTTTCTAAACTCCCTAATTATGGGACCAGAGAGAGGTTTTTAAACTACAGATCGAACGCAGCACTCGAACAGCACTGGCAAAGCTTATGGGGTCCAGGACGTGGTTAGTAAGTTGTATGTGTATCCATATGGTTAAGAGGTGACAACACAGGATCACCTTGGGCTGACACCTGGGATCGACCTAGTGACCGCCAGACCTAATGCCAGAGTGCCACAGGTTGTCTGCAACCTTGGTTCAGTGGTTAGGCTAACCACTAAGCCAGAGCCTCTAATAAATGCTATTTGACTAACCGTTATTCCTGGTCTCATTGTCCGCTGTCTGATTAAGTCGCTCTCTTCTCTGTTTCTCGTACGTCTGTCGAGCAATCTTTGCCAGTTGGTCTTTCACTTCGGGGTAGTACTCAATCACCTCCTCCAGATCTTTCTTTGATAGTCGGAAAAGATCGGAGAAGCCCACGGAACGGACCGAAGCTGTACGACGATTGCCAATTCCCTTCATATCAAGAATGCTTATTTCTCCAAAGTGTCGCCCGGCTGAGAGTTTTGCTAAGACTGTTCCACTCTTGTTGACAACTTCTAACTCCCCTTGATTGACAATGTACATTTCTCGGCCAATTTCATCTTGACGACAAACGTGGTCTCCTTAAATGAAAAATAAATTAAGCAGAAGGGTGAATTATAGGAAAGAAAATAGTAAATGAAGGAGGACGAACGCGCGTACGATATGTAAGGTTCAAGTCAGTTGCAAGTGTGAAGCGCAATGCATGCGACCAACATAAAAGAAATCGTTACATTTCACGATCGATATGCAAAATTTCCTTAGAACCGAGGGAAATATGAACATAATATTCAAACCAAGTAAGAAATATCAAAAGAGAGATGATTAACCACAAAAGAGAAAGGAAGGTGAGAGCGATTAATTGAAGAAGATTAAGGGCCTGTTTACTAGGAGAGAGGGTTACACTAGCGAGCGGGTTACCCTAGCACTCACACATTTCCTCTTTTTTCTTCGTGGTGTTTACAAGGCAGTTAGGGTTACCCGGGTAGGCGGGTTACCCTATCTGCGTGCAAGGGTTACCCTGGTAGGCGGGTTAATTATTTCTCTTGTAAACACTCCAGCCTACCCGGGTTAACTTTCTACTAGTTTCCAGACCCTTTGAGTGGAACCGCGCATTAAGTTGTCCCGGATTGTAGGGTTACCGTACCTGAGTAGTCACATGCGAGTGACTACTCAAAAGATCTTTTATTTCATGAATAACAAAGACGGTCCTTAAATTCCTTCGATTTTGTTTCGCTCCGACCGCAAGTGAAATTTCAATTTTAAGCAGACATTTTATCCAGAGCGCGGTCGATAAATTAGCTCGAAAGAGAGAAAAACTAAAAATAAAAAATATCGAAGCAAACTTCTACCCTATTTCCAGGGAATGCAATAATTGTTTTAAATTCAAACTTGCGAAAAATATTTTAATTGTTCATCGTCAACGCCTAATAGATTTCACAGACAAAAAGATAAAAAAAAAAGGACAACATACAAATAATAATAATAATAATAATAATAATAATAATAAAAATAATAGCAAAACAGAACCCGATTAAGGGTTTTCTTCGGGTTTTTTCTATTTGAAAAGGGTAAAAATTGAGCAAATCCTGTCTTACCGGGTGAACAGAGCATGGGCTTGAGTTTCAACACGAGTTCGCGCAGGAAGCTTGGGTCACAGTGCTCAAACATCTTGACCTTCTTTAGCGTGTCCAAGTTGACGTGGATGGCGATTTCTGCCCGAAAGTTGTCGTTGAGCTGTTGAAATAGCTCTTCCTCGCTAACGTCTTTCTTGTATCGCCAGGCAAAATCAAACCACTGGATCACACGGCGCTGCAAGTCCATCGGTAGCTGATTAGCGGCGATGTATTCCTTCATTCCATCCAGCTTAAGCGAAGGGGACAAAAGGAATTAAAAACACTTTGCTTAGAAAAACTACCAATCAGGTTGCAAAATATCTTAAATCTGAAAAAAGGTAGGATAATTCTTTCCATTGCAAAATTTGCTGCAGGTGATCAAAAAAACTTGGGTCACAAAGATTATTGAAAACTGACTTCGGCACACTTCGGCAAACACAAACAATGCAATGGCTGATTTTATTGTATTTATTAGGAGCATATGAAACGTACTGGAGGGGAATAAATGACATGGCATTTGTTCTGGCCACAGAAAAGGACCCACTGCGCGTGCAACAAACTGGCGTAATGTCATGGTTACAAGTTAGTTGCCAGATTTGGTGAGGTTTTACTATCTAGTAAATAAAATGGAGGCCAAAACAAAAACTTGGATACGTGAAAGGGGCTCTGTGAGACGCGTTAGATATACGTTATCCTATCACTAACACTTCATTAAAAAAAAAAAAAAATAGGTACAAATGTTGTTGTTTATAGTGGTCACTGCGCTTAGCTACACCTAGCTAGTTCACAGGCATCCCACTTGAGCTCAAAGAAAAACAAATATTTCAAATAAACATAATACGATTGAAAATCCCAACAGGCGGGAGGCAGACCAGTTGGCTATTTACAAGCACGACCAAGGAGTTGAGCCAGGGTCTGCCGAGAAACGTCTCCAACTAAGTGGTCAGAGCGGCACTTGAGCCCGCGAATTCCGGATTTCAAGTCCGGCGCCCTAACCACTCGGCCTACCTTAAAAAATCAAAAGCCATGTCCGCTGGGATCGAGGAAGTTAAGCACACATTGTAGAAACAGAGAGAAAGGAGAGTTCCAACAACGAACCTTTCTGTGATATTTCTCTCTGCGTCTTCTAAGGTCCACGATCATATCTGCCGCATTTCCAACAATGGTGGCAAAGATAAGTACACCACAAAGATACGTAAAGATACAGAACAGCAGGCTCATTGTGGTCTGCGGCGTGACCTGTTTGCCCGTACCCACTGTTGTCATGGATACCAGCGAACGAAACAGGCTGTAAAGGTATTGTGGACCGACCTAGGTAAATAGATAACATATAAGTACCTCTGAAACTGTATGACAGGCTCTGACTATGAACTACTCATTTTATAAAACTGTACTTTCAATAAATTCATTTTGCTGTGTAGACGTGCTGAGCATAGGTGAGTAGAAGGAAACATTTCCACTCCATGTTTGCACTGGCCGCGTAAAGCTGGTATGGATTCTCCAATATAAAGTCTGACCGGTTACTGATCATTTGGTATTAAAAACATTCAGTGCAGAGAAAGTGATGATTCTGACTAGCGTCATAGCCTGGATAGCTAAGCTTCCAGATAGGACCGCAATGCGTGCAGACAACCAAACAATCTTGTTCATAGGCTTGCAATTCGTGCAGAAAAATGGATATATTATTTATCGCTTATTTACTTACCCCGGCCCACTGGTTCTCAAGAGATGGATGAACCCACTTGTCCGCGCCAAATCCCTCCATGTAGGATAGAAGGAAGTACAGACAGGCCACCCAATGAATGATAAGGAACAAGTAATGGATGAGTTTCAACAGGTTAAACAGCTTGGGACGACCACTGTAGATCTCGACGCGGTCGCAAAACAGGAAAAACCGGTGCGCTTTCAGAAGCCGACCGAAACGCAGTGAAGGCCTGGGTCCTAGCACCAGGAAGAGTAAATCGATGGGGAGGATGGAAACGCAATCTAAAAAGAAACCAAGCGACTTGACGTAACGTTTGGCCAGTTGTTTGGTATCGGTGACTATCTTACCATCTACAAAGTAACCCGTACGAAACTGTACGATGATATCCAGAAGGAATATGAAATCGCAGCTGTAGTCGATAGCCATGAATGGGATCACGTACTTCTGCTCTTTTACGAAAAATGCCACACGAAAAATGATTGTCCAGTAGTTGTACAAGATTCCGAGAACGACTGTGAGTAGCCAGAAGAAATACACGTCCCCAGAAGGGTCAAAGACGAAGGTAAAATGACAACGCCAGCGACTTGTCTTGTCAGGCAGCACGTCGGATGTGTCACGTGAACTTGCCGTCCCCTCTGATGTGGGGCTCTGCACTTGGGGAGAATTGGAAGCTGATCTGCGCATGAGCGGTCGGCGCCAGTCTTTGTCGTCTTGGTAGGTCCCAGTGTATCTCTCCAGCCAAGAGTCTCGCGATCTTCGTCCGGTTTTCTTGTAGAATTTTTGCAGTGATAAAACTCTAAGAACGGAGCCAGCAAATCGCGTTTGTCCGGTGGATTCGATAACCACTCGGGGAATTTGTGGCCCACTAGTCTCCACTGGATCTGTGGCGTGGTTTCCTGGGGACAGGGAGCTGTCATCTGGAGCAAGTTGGGTCGGTCTCTCCATGTCGTGTTTGTTGTCAATGCTGATTTATATAGTCCAAATACCTGCATGGGAATCAATGATTTCTGACATCAAATGCTTGGCTGTTGTATTGTCAGACTATGAAATGCAAAGTTACTTCTGCAAACTGACATTGTGCAAACTGACCGCTGCCAAGACAAACGCTGCATTGCGTGTCATTTAGGCAGATGTTTGCGACTAAACGGCACAAATTGGCGCGAAACATGTTTCATTTTTCCTAAATCTTTCAGTGATTTGCCAGTATACTTTCGACGCTCAATTTCATATGGCCTTTCTTGACTAGTGTGGCAAAACTTCTAAACATGGCCGAGAATGAATCGTTTGAATGAATCAACTTGATGTCCAGTGGAATATGATATGGCGCCAATTTATGCCATTTAGATTGAAACGACCGAAGAGTAATTTTCATGTCTCTATTCTTATCAATTAATCAAAACACATTAGCTAAAATTGCTACCATGGAGAAAACAAAATAACAAGAGGGAAATTAAACTACCATACTCTTTTTCTTTCCGTGAACATGTCAACCGCTTTCTACACAGACACATTTGTAGTTGGTACCATTTTTCACGTATCCTTAATACTCTTCTAGTTAGACTTTCGCGTCAATGAAAGTGTGAAAATGACAGATGGCCCATTTTAAAGATAATACATCAAACTAAAGCTAACAGAAATACAATATATGCCTTTGGAGGCATAAAACAAGGTCAATATGAAGGTACGACCTCACAATGTAGACGTCTGAGTGTGGTGATAACAAGAAATATTTTTGAGCGGTTTTCAACTTCACAAGGTAAGAGACCGGTATATAAGTCAAGCTTTCTTTGAGATTATTCCCAAATGAAGTTTTTCCTCGCTCGGCATGGCGCAAGCACAGTTTTGTTTTTTGCTTCTAGCATATAAAAGTAACTAGACAAGTTCGAGAATGGCTAAGAACTGTACTGGTTTGAAAGATGGCTTTCAAATCAGGATTTGTATTGAAAACCCAGATGTGTTATACTGAGGATATTCTGAGATTCATCAATAACGGAAAGTAATTGGCAAAGGAAATTGCAATTATACTCTGACATGGTATTAAGCGCAGGGTCAGTGGAAAAGCGGTGGCCTCATGGTTAGTGCACTTGCCTCCGGATCGAGAGGTCTGGGTTCGGCGACATTGTGTTGTGTCCTTGGGCAAGACACTTTACTCTCACAGTGCTTCTCTCCACGTACCCAGGTGTATAAATGGGTACCGACAAATTTAATGCTAGGATGTNGACCCTGCGATGGACTAGCAAACACAGCCATGAGATATTAGAAAAAGGAAATACTCACTTGTCGCTTCATGTAACTGAAACTGGAGATAAGCGCCGGCCTGATGGGCCACTTGGCTCGTTACGCAGACTTCACCTTTTACCTTACTTTATAGTATGCGCTATCCTTTGATCTTTTATGAAGAACATTCGAGGCCATTTGCTCATGAGAAGAGATTCAACTGACAAATGACGGTTAAAGAGCAAATTAACGCGAAATAATTACATTGCTCCTTTTATCAGTTTTAGCACATCTAACCTGATAACAAATTAATGGCTTTTTAATGGCAAGAGTGAAACATTGCTAAAAAGAAATTACAATCTTTTTAAGCTAGGGGAAATAATCTGCCAATGTTGAATTGCTAATGTAGATTGAAATTCAACTTGTAAATATCAATCTTTTTTTTCGGGTGACATGTTAAAAAAAAACAAACAACCAAACTTACAGAAAGCCTAGAAAAACAGGAGCTGTTAGTCGGCAAAATTGCAAATGTAACAACCATCTTGACCTTGGTGAGGCTATAACATCTAAGAGAGGCTACCAATGCCTCATTGTTTATAGTAAATGGCAAACGAGTGGTTTGTAGTTTGCTATTCATAGTTCTTCTTAGTCAGACTTGAAGCTCACGTAGTTACAAATGGTCAAATATGTTCTAATGTGTTGTGTTTGTAGTGGTCAATGCGCTTAGCTACACCTAGCTAGTTCACAAGCATGCCACTTACATTGAATGAAACAAATATATCAACTAAACATAACAGGCTTAAAAATCCCAAGCGGCGGGAGGCAGACCATCTATTTACGAGCATGACCCGAGAAGTTGAACTAGGGTCTACCGAGAAAAAACTCCAGCTAAGTGATCAGAACGGGACTTGAACCCGCGAGCCCCAGATTTCATGCAGGTCCGGCTCCCTAACCACTCGGCCACGCTGCCTCCGCTAAATTTCACTTCGAATGAAATGACGTTCAGGGTGCCTTTCAACGGAGCACATCATTTTCGACATGCAGTCGGCTTTTTATAATATCCCTATAATTTACCTATAAGTCAACATGTTATCGTTATCTTAAAGCATACGATTCCTAACGCATCCCAACGATAAAAAATACAGTTCTTACTCACGTTTTCCCCCGCGTTTTTCATGAAATCTAAAACCTTTCCTCCTTACGTAGGAAAATGGCAAATGTAAACACTGGCGGGAATAATGTTCACGTGGTCATGTCTCTCGTTTGCCGTTTGCCGTAAACGGCGACTCTGTTATTGTATTGTAAATTAGTGTAATCCTGCTGGCGTTATACCACGAATGCAGCACTCCTATTTGCTACGCTACGCACTATCTATTTTATTCTAGATAGTGAGTAGCTTAACAGTATGCGGTTGTTCAAAATGGCGGCCACTTATTTACATATCGGGAAGTGTCTGTGAAGAGCCGGATTTAGATAAGATTGATAGGTTTATACTAAAACAATTAGATTATTCGCTCTCGATTTCTATGCGCGATAGTTGACTCCAGCTGCGCCCTCGTCAACTATCACGTGATAAAAATCGTCAGCGAATAATCTAATTGTTAAATACTGCGGGAGGTTGGGGGGAATGCATTTTACACTTAATGACGGTAAGGGGCCTAAAACGGAAGAAATTATTGTTTTTAAAGACAAGGAAGTTTACGGAAGTTTATCATGTTTATGTAAAACTATGACCAGTTTATGGCAAGTCGATAGATAACGTTTTAAATAAGCGTATAAAACGACCTCTGTTTTTTTTGGGCGGCTTTTCATTTTCGTCCACTCCCGCCGTTTAGCTAAGGAGTTTTCGCAAGTATTGACCACAATAGCAGTCTAAGATTACATCCTTCTCTATCGTTTTATATTCCTGAAATAATAATTTAGCTACTGTTTACCTTAACTCACGTTGGAAGCTTTTTTCCACGGGGTTCTCGTGATGTTATAGTCTAAAAGTGGAATATTTTCCGATATTTACCCTGCGGGAGAAAAAAATAACGCGATGTCAGATGTTGTTTGGCGCCTTGATGTCGATACAACGATTCGAAACTAGTAAATATTATTCTAATTGTAAATCGTATATTACTTCTATCCTTAGTGTTTACAGCTAGTAGGATCTCATTAATAAAAGAGATTTTTCTAGACTAAATACGCTAAATTTTCAACACGAAGAGAATTGGTTTGTTCTTGCAAAGTGATCAGTTTTCTATCAGTCTTCTTGAACTGAATTCCCTATGCGGGTGCGAGGACCAGAAATAATTTAGTCGCTGAGAAACATCGGCGCAAGGCCACTATCAGATTTCTATTCAAAAGAAGTCTTTGTCTCAAAATAAAGTGATTTATTACTGTTTTCTTTTTCATTTAAATTCTTGTTATGTTGTTAACTACATACCGCTGTTTTGCACTGAATTTGATCAGCCATTTGATGGAAATGGATGGGCCCGCGTTCAGTTGTTGACGTGAAAAGGCTTTCCTCTTAAGACTTTTGAAGGTCGCCCTTAATTTCAGTTATACCTCGATCAGTCTCACTGTTTCATCGTTTGTTGAGGTTATGACGGCTATAAATTCAAATAAGCGTTACCATTACGTATCTCTTCACAGAAAATGCGTTGATATTTGCCCAGTAAATGGAGTTTGTTGTGAATTTTTTCATCAGTTTTACGGTGTCTTAGTGACGCATTGTAGTCCCGGGGCACAGGCCGAGCTGAACGTGTGGCGAATGTGTTGAACCTTTACATTCAAGTACAATAACGCGGATATTTCAGTGGAAGCACAATGAGATTTTATCAATACAACACTCAGCTGAAGCGCCCCGCGGAGAAAACATTTTGAAGTGAGCGTTCGGGTCGGAAAATTTAATGAGAAAGTTTCATGTTTTGTTCCCTTTTTGAGCACAGACGCAAGATTTAGTTTATACAACTTCGCAGGTGCACCGTCTTGGGAAATTGCATTCGGCGTGCTCTCCTCTATCTGTACTGCGTTTCGCTGTCCTGGTTTTGGATGTGAAAATAAGTGGTTTTGAAAACACAAGGTATGCTTTATCGTTTACTTATTAAATAGTATTATTCTAGCGACAATCAATGTTTCACGACTTATTATCTATATATATATTTTCGCGTATAGAAACTTCATATTCGCGGTGGAATCTTTAATACGTCATTAAATTACCTCAGTTTTCAACAAATGTAAGAAATCAATTCCCAGAGTATCACTAGGTCTTGAGGGAGTGGACAACTCTTGGCTGGTACATTTATTCGCTATACGCATTTTAAGTGATCATACCTTTTGAAATCCATGCTTGGCCCACAAATATAAATATACACACGAAAATTAATTGACGAAAAAGTTCGCTGTTGAGTGCGTTTCTCTGCAAGCGCAAATAATGGAACCATAGCTCCTGAGTACTGCCAGGAATATTTACAGGTTATTTACCAAGCGAGAAGTCAATATGGTAGATAATGGTTAAGTTTTGATTGTATATATACAGCGAGTGCCCTGATTTTTAATATTTTTACTCCTACATTTTGTAAGTTTGTTGATTTGGCTGTTTNCACGTTCAAAACGAAAATCTGACATCTCGAACAATATTCTACATGTTCCGGTCTTGTATCAAGATTGCATTGTGTGAGCTCACATAAAAGAGAAATTGTTTCTAAATTAGTTGTATAGGAACTATTTTTAAAGTACTTTACCCGGAGTACATTGCGATGATTATCTTTTCCTCGCTCCGGCATCAGTCCACACCGGAAAAAATCTCTCTGTTGAACTGAATAACTTCTTGGATCCGGACAATATCGGGCATTGCTCTTGAGAAATCCTACGCGATTAGCTATAGAGCATTTAACACGAATGTTTTAAATCCAGTGGGAGATTTTTGAATGGTTCAAAGCACAAATCTTTTATGTAAGCGCATTTCCGCGAAGGAATCCTTTCCAATGACGGCTTCGCCTGAGGTGTCGTTGTAGTTCTGCGTTCGCAACGTCACCTGCCATCTACGTACCTTTTGCCTTATTAAAAGCGCTCTCTTGGGTGATAAGTCCCAATTAAAAGTAAATGTTTCCATTTCATAATGCAAATAAAAGGTTTAAAAGCAAGTAAATTCTTCTATCTGCCGGATATTGCTTTGTAATGCGAATTTGTTTTGGCTTCAAGGCAAATACAAACGCCTGCCTTGATCTATTACCCAGGTATGGGTGTCACTCCTCTAAAGATTTGCGTTTGATTGAAATGGGGGAGTCGCGGTAAAAGTTAGCGCTCGGCTGTCAAACGGGAGAAAGATCACCTTTTTGAATGTAAACAAAAGCCGCAATTTATCAGGGAAATTAGATGCGGCTGCTGGGCAAAAGTTTTCGAATATTTACACGGATTAGTTTTTGAAGAGCGTTTGCTCTTGCGCGCTGAGAAAATAAGACACTACAGAGGTCAGGAAGAAAGTTTTTCTCGAGTAGCTTTGACATCGCAAAACGCTTCAGGGCATTACCATGGAATCAAAAGGTAAGCCGATATTACATCTTTCAGCGTAACTGAAAGCTGCGTTGTCTTCAAACCTATTCAGAGGCCGAAATTGCATCTGATAAAATTTTAATTTCCGCTGTTTTTGCGATAGGAGTTCTCGTATCGCTTCCTTGTCGAATGAAACGTTTGTATCGCATTTCTCCGGCCCTAAACCCTGAAAGAGCCGTAGAAATCGCTTTCGCTTGTTCACCACTAACCCGCGGGGAGAACCGATGACGCAAATTCAGTTGAAAGAACTGATTGTAATATAATTTTGTTAATTTTTGTTCTCACTCACTTCTTATATATACTGCAGAAGACAAGAATAGGCACTGTTCAGACCTTAGGGTGTGTTGTTAATTGCTTTCTCTGGCATATTTAAGTTTTATATACGTTGATTACATCGGCCTCTTATCCTACCAAAAAGTAAAAACAATGAAATTTGAAAGCCATTAACTACTTTTCTCGCCTCAATGTAAGGCCTATTTTTATCGTCAATTGCAAATCTTGTTTTCTCGAAGCAGTTGGCATTTTTTTACCAATTAAAATTTCTTTTTCGCTGTATACTCAATATAGCTTGTTCAGTTTGTTCTCGGGGAAGTTTATCGGCCTTATTAGCCTAGCCTCCCCCTCTTAGCATTATATTTGAAACATGCTAATTCCTACCTCTTGCTTGAAATCAATTGCAACCAGTTTGAGTTTGAAAACTTCTCTGTCGGTGGAAAAAATCCGTGATTTGATTCCCTCGGGCGCATTCACTAAATCAATCGTTCATAGAGAGAAGCTTTTAAAATCGCTCTTTCTCTTTGCAGTAAATAGCTGGGTCGGGCTGGCAATGAATTTTTCTATTGCTTTCGAAGCTTAAATAATAGTCTTTTTTATCAAAACAATCGCGCAAACCGATGAATTTTTCATGCGGAGGTAGAATAAGTAAACTTTAATAGGTCCAGCAAACGCCGGCAAGTTTTGCTTGCAGCTGTTGACGCAATCGGCAGGATCGATTTCCTCGGTTCAATAAAAATTCTATCTGTTGTGATCTATCAACGGTGATGTTGTAACACTTTTTCAAAGCTTTGGATGTCGGTTTTTGTCGCCATAGTGGCGTAAAAATTGACATTACGTTCTGAAAAGTCGAATGGAACACTGATCATGTTGGACGCGTGTTTGGCCAAAGCCAAGGAAGCCCATTGTTTCATCAATTTTGTTGATTGTGGAAGCACCAACACGTCTTTTTTTTTGACCGCGGAAAAAAATGCTAATTCCACAGCGGGAGGTATCTAGGTATGTCATTTTCAATGTTACTCGATAAAAAGGAAAGATATTTCTTAATGTCTCGTCGTAAATTAGTTATTTAAGAATTTTCATAGTATCGAGGGCACAATGTGTTTTTTAAGTTGAAAAGATTTCAAATTTTAAGTTGTCTTTCTCTCCTTTTCGTTCTGGAGATTGTCACTATATTTATCCTCTCACTTGTTTGTAACCTAACAATAATTCATGAAGTGACTTGCCATTTCTACAGTAACTGATGCACTCGCTTTTCTGAATATAAAGAAAGGTATCTGTTGCATGAATAATTCGTATAATTATTTCACGTTTTACTGTGATTGTTGCCCTGAAATTTCTTAATAGACTACCTCGTAAACATAGTGTCAGGCGAATGTCTGCGCTTGCCACAGTTCTCGAAAATTGCCACCATGACTCGCGATTTGCAAGTAACATAACAAATTTTAAAAGAGATTTTTAACCTGCAAATGTGAAATGCTACAAATAGTGCTCCTCTAAATACTTGTGAGTGAGAAAAATCTGCCGGAAAGTAACGTTCAGCGAAAAAGTTGCTCAAGCCGAATTCATTGTCAAGACATGTCATGTCTATGCGACATGAAAACGGAAATTAATTGTGCAGTTTTTCATATCCAGTGAAGAGCGATTTTTCGCTGGGTTTTAAGCTGAGTTTTTAAGTCAGTATTCCGTAACAAGATTAGCCTTGTTTTTTTCATAAAAATAAACTGCATTTGCACCAACTTAAGTGGATCGATTCTGTCAAAGTTAAAACTCCTCTATGGGTGTTCATTACTCCTGTCTTGAGACGCTAGCGAGAATGGACGCGCGGAAATTGCCACCAACAACAGCAGCTGCTAGGCATGTGAGCATGCGCAGGAATTTATATGGTGCATTTATTACTTGGGCCTGTCCACTCGGAAGCTGATTAACTTCCGGTATGAACCTCGCATTTCGATATGGTATTGCACCGACTTTAAACTCAGTAGGTTCTCTCATGTCAAACAGAGAGGTCAATTTCCTTTTTCCGAGTTGGGGGCTAGTCTATATATTTTCCAATCAATGGGAAATACAGTACGCGATTTAAATATTTATGACGAAACCTTGCGTTATTTTCATAGCAACTCGTTGCGAGCATAAGTTGTTCATGCTTGTGTCCATCTTCCAATCTTTCCGAGTTTCGAAGTATCATTCAAACAGCAACTAATATATATTTAAATCTACAGCGATTCATTATTTTTGCGTGTAGTTCGACGAACATTCATCAGAAACAAGCACTATATCATCGGACTATATCTGTGAAAATAATAGGTCACTGAATTTAATGAAGGTTGAATGTAATCAAACTCTACCTACCTGATAGACTGACCATTTTCTGCGATACTGCCATCACAGTTAATAATAGATCTTTTTGTTTGAGATCGTTTTTCTTGGCAAAAAAAACGAAGCGTAGCGACAAAGATTTTCGTTTTCACTGGAAATGCATTTAAATGAGCGAGCTTAGCTGTGCGTAATTACATTGTCTTAAGTGCCCCTTTGTTTTAACCTCGAGTAAAAATGCCAGCTTTCCTTTTCATTACAAATGTTAACAAAAAGAAATTTTAGCGTGAATAGACAGGAGATCCATTTTAAGTATTCAAAGATGAAATTTCCGTTCCCATATTCATCACTTTCCATGGCTGGCCCTTGGTTGCTACAAGCCGAGAGATGTTCGTTCGTGGCCCCCACTGTGCAGGTTCAAGTGGCAATTGGCACCCGATTTCAACAGCATCCGTGTTTCGGCGAAGACAAGCGATTGTAATAGTTGAAATTGTGGAAGCCAACTAGTAACTATAGGCGGAATTCATTGTGAGGAAAACGAATCTCTTAAAAGGTGATTAATGACATATCTTTCCCAAAGGAGCAAATATAACATTGTACTAGGAGTGTATTGAACTTTTACAGATATTAGCTGTGAATAAACCTGACTGCTGATTAAACTTTCAGATACGCAAGTGATTCAAAACGAAACCGTACCAGCCATTGATAGCAAGATGAACGAAGGGACAAGTCGGACATCGAGGGTTCGCTTCTCCGCCAACCCAGACACCTTTAGCGAGGAGGAAGAAGCCGACATCCGCCACAAACGTCTTCTTCGGTATTGGTACAAGGGAGGACGAAGATATAGCGAGGCGGAAAAGGCGTTTTTGAGCCGAGTGAGAATACCCTCTGTAGGACTGCTTAGTGACGGAGAAACAAAAGTAGGATGGCTTAGATTTTTTGACCCTGGAGGTAAACGAAGCAATATTAATTTTATTTTCGTAGCAGTTTTAACCAGACCTGGCACAACGTTTGACTAACAGAGTATTACAATCTATAACGAAAAATCTTATAAATAATCCACATCGTGAAATTAGGCCGTCTCGTGGCGATCTAACTTTGTAAAATGTTGTTTATATTTTTTACGATGCCTTCAAGAAATATTTTACCTCCCCAAGCCAAAATAAGTTATCATGAAACAATTCCGCTGCGTAAAATGAGTTCGAAGGTGACACAACGGCTTTCAACATAGTGCTAGAGGGCTTTAAATGTGTGTATATATCTTGCCCGTATTTTGTCGGGAATTGCGCCAATTTTTAATGATGAGTGCACTGATAGGGTTGCAATTGGGAGAACCCTAAGAATCTTATTCAAAATCATTTTAATATACAACCTTCGAGAATCGATCATACGTGCTTTGTGTATATATAAAAAAACTAGCTAATCGAACCGACACGAAGAGATTTTAAAAAATATACAGTCGACCGTCGATGGTTAAATCGAGTCATTTTTTGTAATATAAAAATGTATAAATTTGTGGTTAGCTAACTGGAGACGCTAGCATATAATGTAACCCCATAGATTCTTCTGAATTACGGCTGAAAAATTTGCTTTGCAAATTTTTGCTTGATCGACCTTATACAAAATAGCATTTGTCACCTACTTCTGAAATGAATTTTAATTACACAGCGTATAATCCGGTAGTTTTGAATTGTCATATACCAACAAAAGGTGCTTGACCATTTCATTTCTATATTTGAGCCATAAATTTGAGTTCTTCTTTATAAGTATGTATATATGCTTGCCTAAGAGGGAGTATTTTTTTTCGTAGGTGCTGAAAGAAAATAAAACTAATTCGCTTCCTGGTTTTCGGTCGGTCAACGGAATGAATAATTGCGTCAAACCATGTAAAAACCAAACGCGCTTCAGAGCGATGTCTGTTTTTCAACGAAAACTATCAAAGTTTATTTACCAGTTTTAAAACCTATCTGAACATTTTTTCTCTTATAAGGTTCTTCCTTCTGAACTCAAAAAAGATATATCCATATTTATTGTTAATACTCTTGCCATCTGTCTGGTTTTAACTTCAGGCCATTTTTATATTCGAACAAAGTCTTCCTTAGTCCTAACAATTGAATAACATACAATTACGTTCGACACGCACTTCTCCGGTTTGGTTTTCTGAAAGACTGAAAAGTGTCATTAATTCCTTACTTTAGTGAACATAGAAATAATTCGTTTCGTAAACTAATGGACTTTTGCTGAGCACTTAAGTGAGTGGAAATGATCATCGCAAGCCTTAAAATCCAGACACCAAACTGATCATGGCAAGCTTAAAAATCCAGACACGATCGTCATTTTTTAGAAGAGCTTTAGAACAGGTTTACGAACCTTTTGTCCTACGTTCAACAGCGCTGTTAATTGTGGAATTTGGACAATTAAACAGAGCAAAATACCATACTCTCGTTGTTTAGAAGCGTGGAGGAAACCAGGGGCGATTTCCATTCAACCAAAATTCTGAAATTTTCGAAACGGAGACGAATAGTACGGAGATTTCCTGGGGAAAAGTTCCAGAAATCCTGAAATTGTTGAATTTTCGAAAAGCGAACCATTCAACCGAAAATTCCGGAAATTTTCACGGAGGAAAGTCGAACGGAACTGAAAATCCCGGTCAGAAATTTCCGAAAATTTCGGTATATATACCTCGCAAAATTGTCTTCTTTTCCGGAAATTCCAGAAAATTCTGTTCCATTCGCCACTGGAAATTTTCCGGAAATGCAAACCGGAATGGAAAGCGCTAGGCCTTTCCACAAATATCCGGATATTTTTTGGTATATTTAGAAGTTTCCGAGATATTTAGGAAATGTTAAGATATTTAGAAAATTTAGGGAGATTTAGAACTATAACCCACGCTTAATTTTCGCGCAGTTCTATCGGCTACTTTACGTCACGTGATGCAAAATTACTGGGCAGTTATCACGCAATAACCTCGGCCTGCGTCGATAATTGCCCTGCGACTGTTTTTGTCAAAAAGAAACAAAGCTAAAAAGAGTAAATCCAGCTCTAGAATTTCATCTTTTCATCTTTATCATTTTTCATGGAAGAAAAACAAACTCTTTTCCTGGAATCCGCTGATAATGACATTAAAAAAACCTGGTCGCCAGTGCTGTTCCGATAAGTACAAAAAAGTCAACAAAATATGCAGAAAATTAATGGGAGGGTTATAAAATAAATAAACCCCTTTCTGGCTCGCTGGTATGTTGGCTNTCCGGCGACATACCAGGCACCAAAAGGGGTTTATTTACTAAATATTCATGATAGCTTTTTTTGACTTAGCTACTGTGTTTTCCTCGCTATTTTCTTGATATAATACTCTTTTATATGCCAGAAACAATCCAATTTAGCAATTTCCCACTCGAAAAATGTATTCCATACCACTAAAAGTGCTAAAACAGCAATTTTCCAAAATGGCGGATGCTGGTAACATGGAAATGCCTGAGTCTCAACTCCTACTACTGCAAGAAAATTTTGAAGATTTTTCCCTAAGTGATTCAAATCGAGATATTAAGAGGGTTTTTTTCGAGATATTTAGAAATATTTTTGTGATATTTAGAGGATTTTTTGAGAATTTCCAAAAGGATATTTACGCGATTTAGGTGATACTTGATATTTGTGTAAAGGTCTACCCTTGGCCAGACGCTACCCTTTTAAATGAGCAACATGACTCCTAATCACTTCATGCCACCGAAAGTGATGACTCAGTGGGCGGGCCAGGGTTCTGATATCGAATCCTGAATTATAAACTAAATGATTTTCTTCTTCTTCTTCATCTTAGGCGATCGACTCTATTACTGGCTTCTTATAGTCTCGGTAGCAGTGGTGTACAATTCATGGGTGCTTATATTAAGGACCTCATTCCCCGAACTCCACAAGAGACGTGAGATTGTTTGGATGGTCATCGATTATCTCTGTGACATTATTTACGTCCTCGACTTTTTCGTGAGTTCTAGAACAGGTTACATGGAGGACGGCATCATGCAAAAGGACATACAAAAAATGCGGAAGCATTATGTACACACGAGGGCGTTTTATTTAGACGCCATGTCCGTCGTCCCGCTAGACATTGCGTATTTTTTCATCGAGCGTGAGCCCGCGATACGTATGAACCGCCTTATTAAGTACCATCGGTTTTGGCATTTTCTTGACCGCACAGAAAGTCGGACAAGCTATCCAAACCTATTCAGACTAGCGTCCTTGATGCAGTTTATTCTCGTCATAATCCACTGGAACGCTTGCATTTATTTTATAGTGTCACGAAAGATCGGATTTGGATCGGACTCGTGGGTTTACCCCGGAATTAAAGAAGGCGGGGGGAACTTAACAGACTTACACATGTCTCTGACGAGGAAATATATATATTCTTTTTATTGGTCGACTCTGACGTTGACGACGATTGGCGAGGTTCCGCCCCCGCATTCTAACGAGGAGTATCTTATTGTCACAATCGACTACTTGATAGGTAAGTTGCTTGTTATCCCTGGATGAGGTGTAAGGGGTGAGGGGTTGGGGTACTGTACAAAGTTTTGTATGGTGAGGCTCCGCCCCGAAGTCCAACCTTTTACCCTTTTGTATACCACTTTGACAAAAAAGGTAGCCCTTTCACGTAACTTCCTAAGAACACGTACTGCATCCTTTTTCTAAATCCTTGGAGTGAAGTCAATGAACAATACTACAGGAGAACATCAAGCAGTACCAGAAGAGATGTAAACCAAAGAGCAGGTATCTTATATTTGTTGAACTGAATTGAAAAATACATAATACCAAACCTTCAGGTTATTTTCCAGGAGGGAGTGGGTATTTTAGTATGATTATTCTGTCTAAGCGTCGAAGCCCTTTTTCTTATAGGGCAGGCAGCTTCGGATGTTAAGAGCATATTAACGTGACATTGATCCGTGTTTAATGTTATGTCTTATTCAGGTGTTCTACTTTTCGCCACCATCGTAGGAAATGTAGGCAGTATTATCACAAACCAGAACGCTGGCAAAGTGGATTTCCAAAATAAAATGGACGGAATAAAATCCTACATGCGATTCCACAAGATTCCGCAACATCTTCAGCAACGAGTAATCAAGTGGTTTGATTATCTGTGGATGAACAAGAAACACCCGGACGAAGAAGAATTACTGCAGTCATTACCCGATAAATTAAGGGCAGAGCTGGCCATTCATGTTCATTTAGATTCACTGAGAAAGGTTGAAATATTTCAGGATTGTGAAGCGGGATTTCTAAGCGAGCTGGTCTTGCGTCTTCGTCCACAATTATTTTCGCCAGGTAACTTTTAGTTCATCGATGTTTAAGGTACGATCAATCTTCGCCCGCTCAAAATCTTCTGTAGGTCCTCCAGTCCAAAATATGTCTTCAGGAGATTCGCTCTGACAAATTCCATACTCTCTCCTTAGAAATCCGTGTGGTGTCTCGGATTGGTTGCTGTTTTCGCGCGAAAATTCAAAACCAAACAATCAATCAACCAATCTGAGGGAATCACGTATCTTTGTACGTTACAAAGGACAACATTTCACCGGCATGCTTTGCGCGCCTAGTCGAACCATGTTATCAACGCATCTCTTGCATGACCTTATCATTTCCGAATACGCAAGCGGAGAGCTTTTAGAAGTCTTACTTCAAAAACGGACCAAACTAGCAGGAGAGTCGATATGCGGAGGCCTGACAAACAACAACGACCAGCTCAGTGCGCAATGCATACCGGTGAATCCCCTCCTTTGTATGCTACGGAGTTTTCTATCCAAGCTTAGAGTGGCGCTTAACGTTGATGTTCCTAACACCATATTCAGGGCAAAGCGTGAAAAGATCAAGGTGACATAAGTATGTAAATTAGTGAAAACATAATTGACGGTTTTTGCGCGTGTTATATGAATAACCTGGCGCGGATGGAATCCGGCTTGTACGTTCAATGATGGTTAGCGTTCTTAGATAATCATCCTTTTGTAAAGGACGGTCAATCGAATTATTTTTTGCCACGTTGTTTTCGTTCATTTATTCCTATGTCACCTCGACATTTTCTCTCATCGAAACATTGCACTACTATAATTGACTTTATGATATTTTTTTTTTGGCAGGGGATTACGTCTGCAGGAAAGGAGAAGTGGGCAGAGAAATGTACATTGTAAACAGAGGCAAATTGGAGGTAGTGTCTGAGACCGGAACCAAAGTTTATGCCGTGTTAGAGGCCGGAAGTTACTTCGGCGAGATCAGCGTGTTGTGTATGAGCGCCGCCGGGAACCGTCGAACAGCTTCGGTTCGTTCCGTCGGCTACTCGGAATTATTCTGCTTGTCGAAACATGATCTCATGGAAGTACTCGACGAGTACCCTGAGATAAAAACTAAGATCGAGAGTATTGCTAAGCAGCGTTTAGAGAATGACAAGCGTCGAACAAGCGTGCTTCTGTCCAACAAACACGACAAAAACAGGACTAACGAGAATTGTTCCGACACGGAGCCGAGGGTGAAGAGCAGAGCTTTCGCCAAACTGGAGGAGAGGATTGTGGTCCTTGAGAGAGAGCGAGACAACATTTTGGAGGAAATGAAACGACAACGAGAAGAGTTTTCCAACAGACTAGCTGACCTTGAAACCTCCGTGGCGCAGCTATCAAGGGAACGTGTAAGACCTACCTCAAGATCGTTTGATTTTGTTTGGAAAAGAAGATAACTGCGAGTCTTGGGAGGTCCCCGGTCAGTTATAGCTGTCTTCTACGAGGTGTTTCCTTCCAACTCTGGCAATGAAAAAATTTGTTTTCGCTTCACACAAGCATCAAAGTCAGTAACATAAATGACTCTATGAAGATGTTGCCGCGACCATTGTTCAGATACTACACGAAGTGCTCTCAACTGAAATAACTTCTGTTTTGCGGCCAGTTTTCAACTATTCGGGCGAGGTACTCCTATGCACATTACCAGAATTGGAAGTTGGGAAATTTCGCTTGTTGTATTATACCTAATCGTACCTCTTTGGTACGCTTCGGTGGCATGTCAGGCGACTTTGATCGAACCATGGTTCGTAATTAAAAATACCCATAGCGAGACCAAACGAGGCTGTCGAGTGCCGCCGAAGCGAACTAAAAACGGTACGATTAGATATGTATCGCAGGATATCAAGACAGCAGACACGGCTTCTGATTGGCTAATTGCGAATTTGGGTACGATAAGTTCCAGAAAATCAGATAGATAAAGCGAGACGAAAAATTACCTTGACGTATGGACTTTCGCTGGTTTTCAATTAAGCGCTTGCTTTCGAAGACTTTTTATTCCCTTGTGTGTTCGTTCGTATCATTATATAAGAGTGCGAGTAAATATTCAAGATGTCAGATATTAGTCCAGTCTTCACACCATGCTAAAAATCTTGCTTTCAAACAAAGTAAAAACATATTCCTTTTACGCCTACGCCTTTGCGTCTGAGAAAGTAATTATATGAATCTTTATAGACGTTCGCATTGCAGAAAAATAATCTAACGTGTGCAATCGATTTTGCAGGGATTACCCGGCTGTAAATTGATAGATTTTCTAGTGCTTTAGCAAGTTTAACCCCTCCCTGGTCAGGAGTTAATACGGTGTAAATTTCACCAATAATAGTTTTAGGTCCCTATTTACGTGCGCCTGCGCGTTCATTGCTTTCGGATCTGACCACGAAAACAATAACGTGAAAACCCTCTGGAAATTAATTAAAATAACTTTTAAATACTTGAAATGATGGAAAATCTTTGCCTTCGAAAATAATTCAGAAAAAAAAGACAAGAATCTTATATAAACTGAAAAGCTGGAATTTTCAGTTGCCAGCAAAAATCATGTCAGATGCGAAAAAAATATCTTTGGTTAGTTTACACATATAATAGGCTTTAATAAAGATGTATTAATCTTATCTTTACATTCTGTTGAATTTGAATGCTGTTGTGTTTTAACAGATTGAGAAGCCAGGAAATACGCGCGCCTTAAAGTGCCACAACTCCAACCAAGGCCATCCGACAAAATTTTCCACAGGAGGAGGTTAACAATAGTTTTCCAACAAATTATCCATGTACTCAAGCTGTTCATTACAAAGGCAACAGATTTGTGGTCATTTTTAATTAGATAATCTGTTGGAAAACTACTGTTAACCTCCACCAGTTTTAATCGTTAATTTGTAGAACATTTTGTCGGCTGGCCTTTGTTAGTGTAATCGCACTGTAAGTGGTGTCAATCAAATATAATTAATCAAACAAAATGCACGAGCAACGGTCCATTCAACCAAAAATTCTGGAACTTTCAAAACAGGGCGAAATGGTATTAAAAAAATTCTTGGGAAAGTTTCCGGAAAAACCTAAAAAATTGTTAAATTCCCCAAATTCGAATCACTCAAAAGGAAAGCCCAAAAATTCCAAAGGAAATTCATAAGGAACGGAAATTTTCGGTTCAAAATGTTTGGTTGAAAAATTTGGGTGTAGCTTGAAGGTCGTCCACCATAAATCTGGGAAAATACTATTTCAATCCCTTACCGGGAGAAGCCCATGAATTCTGGGCATGAGGCTGTGTCTACAGAACTGTAGAATCAGTAATGTTTTGCTTTCTTGCTTTCTTCCAAACTCCGATTCATTACTACGGAAAATTATATCCATTTTTACTTGCAACGTTTTACAACTTTATTGGCATGGCAGTAAATTTTGAATCACCCTATCCGATATTAATGTACAGTATCTTACAAATATTGTAATATTTAACATTTGACTCCGTGCCGTACATTATACACACGATCTACATTACATGTAAGTCAGATGGACGCAAATTGAAAAAATATCACAAAGGATATTTTCAGCTGGTTTTTAGCCCGCGCTGTGTCTTGGTAGCTGTTATCGTTGTCACGTCAACCAATTAGTAAAAAGTGTTGCGTGATAAGCCTATTAGTGGCTGAGAGAAGAGACTGGCGGTTTGTAATCTTAATTTAAAAGCAACTTTAATTTAATCAAATTTGATTTAATTAATTCCCTGTGAAGTTATAGTTGAACCTCGCTATTTGGAACTCTCAGGGGAGACAAAAAATAGTTCGAAATAGCGGGAGTTCGAAATACCCAATAGTAAATGACTGAAGGGCAAATCCCAGGGAAGTTGTTTTTTTCGAAATAACGTTAAATTCGAAATAACCGAGTTCGAATCAGCGGGGTCCAACTGTATATAAATAGTGTGGTTCTCTAATTACAGTAACAATAAAGTAATTGAAGTGAAGCCGAAGCAAAACGGGAACGACAAAAAGCGCGGGAAAATAGTCACGTGACGTTGGTTTCAAAATCCCGGGCAACTTCTCTAAACTATTTTTTGCAAATTCTTGCAGGAAACTCTGAACAATTGTTAAAGCATGATAGCATATAATAAATACATAGTTTGACGCTAAATTCATTTCAAACCCACTTTTTAGCCAGCCGTGTTTCTTAAGCTCTAATAGTTTACGTTACTACTTAACATGCATTTAAACATAGACGCCAGTAGTTTCTGAAACCCCCAGTTTATCAATTTTACGTGTTCTTAATTTAATTTCACGAATGTCCTCAGCATATAATAATAACGAATAATAATTTTTGAATACTTATACTTCTTATTCTTACTCCAATATGGTAAATTAACGTTTCCCTCGAATGTAATTGTATTTCTTTCGTTTTTCTTTACATATATACTCCTGCAAAATTGCCAATATATTCATCCATAAGCTTTGCTGTCGTGTCATTTTTAACCCAATCGGGAGAATAATATTTAAACAGCAAAATTAAATTTGTAAATTGTGCGAAATTTACGTTTTAAGTCTGGAAAACCAATCTGACCTTCTTATAATTTTATCATGACATGAAATAACGCCCTACTTGACTTATTGTAATTTTATGTGATACGAGGAAGTACTGATTGAAACATAGGCTAAAAAAGGATTGACACTTCATGTTAAAATGAGACGTATCATGCAAATAATTAGTCTTTACCATACACCACAGTAAGCTTTTAATACTGTACAATAGAATTATCTAGTTACTTAAGATTGCAGGCGTATAGCTGTAGTCCGATCTCACAGGCCGAGTGGGAATCCCATGATGCATTGCAGCTTGCATGTCTACGAACTCTTCCAGCACATCCGGGTAATATCTCTCGTTGGTGCCACCGCTGACCCCTGACAGCGGATACATGGTGTTTGACGTCATCGCGCCTGGAGGGAACATGTAACTGGAAGGATAACTTCGCTCCGTCAGAGGGTACTGGGAATAATGCTTCATGTGGTCCATTGGTGAGATCCCCCTGTACTCGTAGGACGCCATGCTGGTTGCAGGGTTCATCACCGTGTAGCTTGAGTCTGCCATGCTGGTTTTGGAGCGGACAGCGGTAAACCCAGTTGCATCTGTCGTGTAGCTGCTCGACATGTCAAAGTCACCCATGGTTATCCCGGCTTCGCTTGAGCCCGCCACGGCAAAGCTGCTACCATGATTCACTGAGGGCATCAAGCTACCCTGGCTCGCCGCGTAACCATACCGTGCCCCATAATCCCCTGGTGGTGGGTACAAAAAGTGCCCTTGTTCTGGTATCATGGGATATTTACTGATGTTGTTGTTATTGTTGTTGTTGTTGTTTGTCGGTGTCGTAGGCGTCATCGGTGTCATGGGATGTGGGGATATATCGTGAAATGAGGATCGCATAATGGCGGGCTGAGCGGGGCTTCTTTGAGGGGGCACATCTCTAGGGCTTCTCAGAGATCCTATGGAAGAAGAGCTTGAATGCCTTCGTGATGCGGGCTTTCTAGCAGTTATGGTCCGCGGTCTCAAAATGTCCACTTCCATACTTTCGCTCGCAGGTTCTGCAACAAAAAAAGAAAACATTTTAATTATTTTTAATATTGAAACGATTGTTACTATTTCTTTCTTTTTCAAATTTTATTTTTGAGGGCCATTAGGTTATCAGTTTTATTACTGTCAAATGTTACCCTCGTAAAAAAAAGTCTTACTTACTTACTTACTTACTTACTTACTTACTTAACATTTGTTTGAGAAAACTTTTTCACATAACTGTCATAAGATCTCTCTCTTTTCAGTTGCAGGGAACTTTTTCACAGTTATTTTTGCCCTAAACAGTTAGAATTTAAAGAACGACTCTACCAACCTTGTACGACATTTGTCTCCTTGTTTACGCGGACAGAGGACTGGGTCGACAGTTCATCCATGTTGTTGTGGTTTTCAACAGTATACAGGATGTAATCTTCAAGGAGCATGTGCAGTAGGTGAAATGAGCCTGCGATGAATCAACAATGGAAAAAATCAAGACATTATCACTCTGTTGCGTATGGTAGAATTTAAGTAAAATGCCTATTAAATTGAATGTTTAATACAAGAAAAACACGAAAGGCTCAGGGAAGCCGTAGTAAAGTGACGAATTTCAGAACTGGACAAGAATTAAATTGAATCTTACCAAAACTATGAGCACTGTGTAACGTTAGTTCCCGCACAATTTTGATGCTGAAGAATGACCACTTTAGAAGGAAATCCTTTGAGCACTCCTTGTACGTTTTGCCTGTCTTCTCCACTTGCTAAAATGAGAGTGAAAAGTACGTTTAACACACCAGAAATTTATCAAGTGTTGTTTAACTAAATGTCATTAAGAATACTGTGTAATCTTTACTGCACGCTTAATGCACGCTTGATCTCTACGAGCATGTGCTTATGCAATGCCTATTTTCTCATTTGGCAGATTATTTTATAAGAGATTGTTTGACATTCTATACTAGTACGCGCTCTTTTGGAATGGTGGGAAATGGAGAGAGATTAAAGGAGATCTTTTTTATTTAGATTTAAATAATAGCACAAAAAATATATCACTTTGTTTAAGTGTCACTGATATTTAGCAGTGCTGTTCTAATTTGGGACACTATAAATCGAAAAACAAGCATTGTAAATAGAACTGAAAACCCGTCAAAAGTCCCAACTGGTTGGAATTTAAATGCTCGCTTTAGACTTTGATGTACTTGCCTTTAAAACACAGCGGTTGACCAGATTTGAGGCCCACTCGGCGTATTGATCAATGGTTGCCTGCTGATCGAGCAGCTGTGTAAACTCTTTATAGTCTGGAAACGAAACACAAGCCAGTCAAATTCTGCTGTCAATATGCTAAACCACTTTATTGAACCACGGACCAATCATCAAATTCACTCATGCAACGTACATGAAAACAGGACCAACTGGCTTAGCCTGTTCACTTACGCTCGTTTACTAGTTCGTAGTCCTCCTCCACCGACTGGCTGAAGGTCCACAAAGCCTGGCGGGCAATTCCTTCAAAATCAATTTGCTTCCAGTCGTTTAGCATTTGTGAAACAGGCTCTGCGCTGTGTAATACAGTTCTGGCGGCCTGATAACGAAAGAGAAATCATGGCATTTAGACTTGAATAGTGGAAAATGGACAAAATTTAATTTATTTATAGTATTTATACTGAACTGGGGATACTAGAATTAAAACCGCTGATCCTTGCAAAGGGATTTTAGACGTGAAGAGATCTATCTGGGATTCAAGATTTTTCATTCACTAAGAGTTGAAGTGGTGCTTTGAATGAAATAAGTTAAGTTTCTTCTCCATCATACCTGAGCGAGGTGTGTTAGAGAAGTTTGCCTTCGCAGTGAATGAGAGAAACTCTTGGCAACTGAAAAATAGAATGAAGTCTTCATTAATAATAAGTATTATGCTCATATAGATACACACAGATCTGTTTAGATGAAGAAACACATTTTTTACACTCTAATAATGTCATTCTCGGCTCTAACCTGCCAGTTTCTTCTTCTGTAATGGTTCCGGTAAATGAGATAAAGATTCCGTCAGCCACTCATCAAGTTGCTGTGCAAACTGACGAATTGCTTGAGTCAAACTGCAACGATACGAGTCAGAATTTTAATACATGTCAATTATTTTACTGCTACTTATTGACTCAAGTCAGTAAGATTTCTCGAATTTTGTTAAATGCATGTTTATTTCTCAAGTTGAATTCATGATGCACAAACTAATAGGTAAAAAGAACCTTGCACATTTGACCAAAAGAAGCATCGCTCTATGGCGAGAAAACACATGAAATGCATTTTACCGCCTGATGAAAATGGCAACGGGTCGCAGTTAAAAAAGGCGCACGAATTCGAAAGATTGTAAAAAGCAGCTCCGATTGTGAAAAGGAACAAAAAAGTTAAGGTGTTATTCTATTTCTACAAGCAACTGTCTGTTATTCTCAAGATGGGGGTAAGACATTCCCTGTTTCCGGGTTGTCACCCGCACTCATTACTAGCGATANATTGAGCAGTACTTTCATGTGGTACTATTTATTAAACTGCATAAGGTGTTGCTAACTTGTAAAGCTGTGAATGAAACTCTAGTGTGTGAAGACTGCTATCGAAAGTGATTACGTACATTTAGTCATTTTATTTTAACAGTACCTTTAGAGCTCTATGTTGTTTATAGCTGTTTATGTCGCGATGTTTATTATGATGAACTACTTTCTTGGTGCTAGATCCCTTTTGTCATAATTATCTTAGCTTACGCGTGCAAGAAGACAGCTTACCCAGTGTTGCTTTGCCTCGCTGCATTACAGACGGTGTCATGATAAGGTGAAGTTGATTTTATTGTGATCCCATAGTAGTGATACCTGGGATTAAATGAACAAGTTTGTGTTAAAGGAACATTCATTATTAATAAACATGATATAGCTGAATTGCTTTTATAAGAGGATCTGGACATGGCGATTTTCATTTGAATGTCGAAAGTAATTGGTTTTTCACTTACTACGCTTCGTGATTGGCTTCAAAATCTCGCGCCAAGTTTTCATCCAATCAGAAATAAAACCAAAAAACATCGTGACTTTCTCGCACACGTTTTCCCGCGCTTTGCCCCAGCTATATGTTATTACTTCGAGTCTTGATTGGCTCGCTGGATTGTCTATGTCCTTTGTGATTGGCGAGAGTGATTACTTTGGTTTTGGTTTAAAGACACTCAATTGAAGACCAACCTGCAATTTTTATTTAAGACTTTATGTTTTCAACTTTAGAAAAACGATGAAAACACAAAAAAAAGGCCTTTTGGAGTCTGAAACGACATTATTGCGAGACTAGAGACGGTTATTTCCGGTACCCCTCTAGTATTAATTAACGTTTTTCTATTACGCTCAAACGTGTCTCCTCATTTCAAGAGATAAATCTTCTTGGGAGCATTTTATTAGAGAAGCATGGGAAACTGACTTTTTGAAATTGTTAAAAGATATAGATAAGAAGAGCCAGACTTGTGAGCGGGGTTCAAGTACGTACTTCTTACAACGGTTCATATTTGGAAAAAGAAAATTACATTGGAATCCCGATTTCTCGAACCCTCAGTTTTTCGAACCTCCCTAAAACTCGAACCAAAAGTCGTTTCCCTCTCCTCAGTCAAACACTGTAATTTTACGGGGGCGGGTCTAGAGGGAGGGTGAAGGGGGTGCGCACCCTCCTTCCCCCTGAGATAAAGCCTTCTTCCTCGTATTCGCTTTTAAAATTTATTACCTCACCGGTCAGTCACCACCATTTTCCTTGGTGGTGCACTCCTCCTAAGAAAAATCCTGGATCCGCCCCTGTTTTAATTTTCCCCCGATTTCTCGAGCTATCCTATTTTTCGAACCAATTTTCGTTTCCCATGGAGGTTACTGTATGACTAGCTTTTCCTGACAACTGAGCTACTTTTTCGTATTCTGAGCGGCTTCTTATGTTTCCAGAAACGTTCCCCCAGTTAACTTGAAACTGAAATAAATTACGAGTACATAAGTTCTACAGTTAACTTCGTACAAATTGTGCAGTTATGCAGTACACGAAAGATCGAAAAAACCAATAATTTGATTTCCTGAGCTCTTTTTAGTTCCGATTCCTTTTTTCCAATCCGCCCTCGCGCCAGCTGCTCCAATCCGCCAACTCGCAGCTGGCAAACGGATCTTATTTTCAAACTTCCCAAACTGGTTTTTACATCAGTTCTGAACCCGTATAATTTCCGTCCAGAATGTTGTTATTTCCGTTGTATTCATATTCATGTTTTTTAGAATTGTTTGCTCAATTGATATTTTCAATGCCTTGTTATACTTTTACGCACATACCAGCAGCATTTAATTTCGTTGCCACATAATATTTATAGTGGCATCTTGTTTTGTTGCTGAGCCTAAATCATTAAGTTTGAAAAATTCTTTTATTTAGCACATAACGTGGGCCGCCTTTTGTTCAAAGTGCCAAGTTCCTTCCTGCTACCACGGTAACCCTGCTCACATCTACTTGAACTTGGAGAAATTGTTGCACTCTACTCTTGAAAACAAAAGGTATACTGTGGACCATTTGGCCTTCTCAGATCGCGTGTTTCATGCTTTCGTTTTCAGCTAGTGCGGTTTCTTTGTTTTTGTCAGTGTTTCAAAATCCATTAGCATTTCTCAAAGCAATATTCTATCCTGAAAGAAATACCGTGATTGATCTCGCTAAGACTGAGATGAAACTATGCAAATGCAGTTGAAGAAACTCTCACAATCCTTGACTTCGGCTTTCAGCGAAAGACTCTTTGTTCAGTACAAACAAATTATATTGTTAGCATTGATTTTTTGCCTCATCAAGCGCTTAACTTTTTTGCCGCAATTTTTTCTCGAAGTTGATTTTCAAACTTTAACAAAAGAATATCGATATAGGTGTTGGTCACTGGAATGCTAAGGACACATTAATTCAGGCGAAAACAATGATTTGATCAAGTTAACGAGTACCATTGTGTAACCACGTGTTTGTTGAAGGAGTGCCGGGCACCAAAAAATTATAACTTCAAGTTCCCCAAAAAGTTCAACAGGACCAGATGGTCAACAAACAAGACTGATTTCGTTAAAACTAGCTTACTTACTGTTATGGTTGTTAGATTTATATATTAATTGATATTTCAAGCTAAGAACACAACAGAAATTTGTTGTTTTACGATAGCATAGAATATGTTCTCGAATCATACATCATTTCTAGAATGTGCTCATACTGAATGTTCACATATCAACAGCATAGTAATAGAGGGTAAAGGAGCAAGCAAAGATGCCAAGATTTATGTTGGAAGGTCCACGACCGTGCACAATCTTTTGTTTTGCGTTCATACACTATC